GGGAGGGAGGGTGGGTGGAGGAGGTGCTCCCATACTCCTGTCAGAAACGCATGTCAGGTGGTCAAGTGTTTCTGGAAGCAGCACGGGGCTGCAAAAGCAGAGTGGGGATGTGCCCCATGGGAACTTCCCCTGCTCCACACTTGCAGGGCACATGGGGAAATCCCCTGCAGATGAACACCCCTGCTTGCAGATAGGCACTTCAAAGCTCCAAACTCCTCTGATTACCCATCACATCCCAGGGTGTGTAGGACTGGACCCCTCTTGTCCAAGGAGCCCCTGCCCAAGCTCTTCCACCATTAGCAAACAAACAGACATGGGCTGCAATAAAGCAGCCCAATTTATTATTACCCTGTGTCAGGGCCCCAAATTTGAGCATTTCTGGCACAACATAAAGGTATAGATGTCTGTTTGCTTTCACTTTGTGCCACCATAGAAGTGTTTATGGTGGTACAAAGGTGACGTCCATTTCTACCCTTTGTTATACAGGTTGAATATAGCTGTTATTGAGATATATCTACTCTCGCAAAAGATGCTCATTTGTGGCAGTGTTGTAAGTGACCTAGTATTTTCAAATCAGTTACCAAGATTTTAGGAATCAGATTTACAAAAAAAGGCCTAACCTTCTAAATCCGTGATCATCATTTCCTGCTTGTTCTTGAGTTTAGCCAAATTTTTGGCCTTTTCTTCTTCTTCAGCTAGCTGAGAGGTACATTCGGCAATCCTGTCTTCCATCAATTTCTTTTCCTAGTGGGGAAAGAAGATTGACTGTTAGAATGTGAATGAAGTGCCTAGAAACACCCAAAACTAGTGAATGTAGAACATCTTTTACTTCAGTAAAAGGCAATCAACTGGCTGCAGTTTAGAATTAATGATAATTTTGATTACTACCAAAATATTAAGGGCTTCAATTTCAAAAGCAGCTGGTGATTTGGAATGTCTCAGATTTCAAATTGTACATGCTGCACTCTTTCAGAAAGTCACTAGACATCTGACAATTCAGGTCTAAAAGCATACCTGCATACTATTTCTTATTGAGCAATGCACAGAAATCACAGAAATTAAGGGCTGGAAGGGACCTTGCAAGATCAAATCCAACTCCCCTCCTTTGGGCAAGAATACTGTTGAGATCAAATGATCCCAGCAAGGTGTCTGCCCAGTCTCCTCTTGGAAGACTAAAAAGTAACTGTAGTAAAATGATCTTGAGGACTCTTAGCCTGTTAATTTGGAAAGCCTATGGGCTGCACATAGCCCACTAGGGGTTAAAAGTTGCGGCCCTCAGGCTCCTGACCAGCTGCAACTCCCCTTATCGTTCTGGCTGTGCCAGCAGCCAGAGGCTCCAGTCTCCCTCATCTCTCTCTAGCTTCTACATTCTGTACTCACCCCAGAGGGCAGTGTAGTGTGGCGTGGCATGGCACAACATGTGGCGCTCAGGGTGAGCCCCAGGCTGGGTAAGCATCCATGTCACATGCAGCCAAGGGGCTTGTCAGGCCTACTGGTGTCTCACTGGATGTGCAGCTCATTGAGTGTGTGGCACCTGGCCACTTAAATGTTGGATAACCCTAATTTAGACCACCATATGAAGCCTGCTGAGTTTATGACAAATGCATCTTGTAAAGTCAGCAAACTCCTTACAGAACCAGTTTTTAGAAAGCCATAGTGCTTCAGCAAGATCAGAAACTAAACGTAATGTGGAGAAGTAGTCTCAGTCCTTTAAAGATAAGGAAAAAATATGGTGATTTGGGCAGGGGAAAGAATGAAGATCTTTACTGAAACCCACCACCTCACATATGTTCTTCTAATGGAGATTTAACTAGCAACATCAACTGGTTTCCTACCTTCAAAAATTTGGAATTTTGGTCCTCTAAAAGCAGGATCTCTTCTTCCATCTTCTTGATTTTAGCTTCAGCCGTTACCTTTTCAAGTTGCAACTTCTGTCGAGCTCCTTCTTCCTCATCAAGTTGCTCTTCTAGATCCTAAGAAAGTGGATAAACAAGGAATATTCTATCTCCAAGTACATATACACTTCTTTATTTTAAGAGGCCCTTCACTTTCTATATTAATACACTGAAATAGGGCTTCACCTGTACACAAGACCAGCATAATGCAGCCTGACACTAAGAATTCCTGATTCTCTGTGCTATATTAATGCAAAGTTGTTATAGAGTTCAGTTATAGTATAAGTCAGGAAATTCAAATCTATTGTTTCCAAAGCAGCTAACCCTGCCATGTCGCACACATCGCAGATCTTGTATTATTGTATATCATATCATGTCTGTACTTCATTCCTTCCAAGAATAGTACATTCACTGCATAAACCTTCAACTCCCTGAATTTGCTAAATAGCAGCTCTAATTCTGAATGGTTTTTCATCCATTCCTTCAGGTCCCACTTTTGTTTGACTATGGTTAGTGAACTGAGCTTCACAATAACATCAAAGACCATTACATTCGAATGAATCAAAACGCAGAAGTTCTCATATCTGGGGAACAGCAAAGGCCCCTGCACTGTACGTTGAAATATTTAAATGTGTAAGCAAGAACTAGAGAACTGAGGAAATGGATATAATAATGAAGAGTTTTCTAGTTTTTAATACAAATCTATATCCAAAAAGTGGAGGGGGGCGGGGTATCCAAGTTGGCCTGGATATCCAAATATATATGCATAGGGAAGCTGATAAACAGCAGCATGGTAACAATGCACTGTATTATGATCTTTTTTTAAAAAAAATAATATTTGCCAAATTCCAAACCACTAAAATTTGAGAGAATAATTTTTATTCAGAACCAAAAGGTGAGATTTTCAAGACTGGTCAAGGGATTTAGGAACACAGGTCTCTGGCTTTCAAAAAAGCTCAAAGCAGCTTAAAATAAAACCAGACAAAATAAAACAATAATACTTGTGTTCTTTTAACTATAGGTATTTTTTAATCTCTACATGCTCAAAGGGAAATATTCTGGCTAAATATTCTAATGTGCAATGATGGTGTGCAGAAAAAAAAAAAAAAAATCAGCAATTTAGAGTGGATATAGCCCTGGATGCCTGCTCTGGGAAAAAAACAAAGACAAAAAATGAACAATACATATTCTCCAAAACATTTGAAATTTATTTGTGTCAAGAATATGCATGAAACTTTTCATTCCCAAGTGAGAGAACTTCATGGATCTCATTTTACAGTGAAGTACATTCTACAGTAAAACATATTTTGAGAAGTGAGATATTACAAATGATAGCTCTTTTCTCTCACTTCTTTCATTCCCTCTAGAGGAAAGTTTTAGGGTACTGTAAATTGCCCCCTATAGTTAACAGAATTTTGTATGCTTCCTTTCATTTCAATAGTGCTGAGAGGAATACCTGAATATGTCCTTGCATCTTTTTCTTTTCATTCTGGAGTATTTGGTTCCTTTCCTCTTCCTCCTCAACCCTGGACTCTAGATCATGTAGAATTTCTTCTAACTCCTGCTTCTTGGCAGCTAGGCGGGCTCTCATCTCCTCAGCTTCAGCAAAGAGCTCTGTCTCAGCCTGGAGCTGTTCCGCAAGAATATTCTTTTCTTCTAAAAGCTACAAATATTATAGAAAGTGAAACATCAAAACTTCACCATCATTGATGTCAAAGCTCTTCAAATGAGATGAGACATGAGTTACAGAAGCTGAAAGCTTGCTCTCTTCCAAAAATAGAAAGAAAGAAATTAAAATACAGGATGGGCTCTTTGTTCATCTAATCCAGGAGTGGCCAACCTGCAGCATGAGTGCCACAAGTGACACAGACAGCCTCTGTGTGTGCCATGTGGTAGATCAGGGAAGGGAGAGGCAGCACAGCATCAGATGGAGTAAGGAGAATAAATCAGAGCAAGAGATTGGGCAGGGAGCAGAAAGCAAAGCAGTGGATCAGGCAGAAGAGGATTGCAGTGGCACTCAGAAAAGGAGCAGGGTGAATTTGTGACATGCCTACCAAAAAAGTTGGCCCCCGCTGATCTAATCCATTCTCTGCCTCAGACGCTCCTAGTGACAACATAAGTATTTTTCAAAAATTTGTCTAGTTGGTTTTAGACTATTTGGGTGATGGGGCTTCCTACACCACTTCTTTTGAGGGGGCTACACAGGGGTGTCCACTACTGTCTGATGTAGGTTATTTGGCCTACTTTTCCCTATTCATAGCTTCTATTTTACTTTCTCTTGTTGCCATACGTTCTCTTTCTTTGACATGCACACCCTCTTGATAGCTGTAGAAACAAGTTTTACTCTCATCATTATTTACAACTACTTAAGTATTCAATCTTCGCCACAATTTCTGCAACCAATCTCTTCCCCCTGGCTCTTTAAACGAAACTATTCTCTAATTAACCTGATAATCACTTCTTAAGTGTAATCCTAAAAATTTATTATTTCCTACTCTATGCTTTGCAAGTTTTTTTCCTGTGAATATTTTAAAATGATCAGACTTAATACACCAATCACTAGGCTAATCACAAGCTTTCCTTAACATGACAATTGCTCTGACAACACAACACAACTTCAGTCAGCTTTCTGTTAATATACTAGTTATTGGTCAGTATAAATCCATTTTTAATTTCGCTTGCAGGAAAAAGTGTGCGTTGGGGAGGGGGAGCAGGAAAAGGGAGGGAAGACATGCATGTGCACTGTTTACGTAGAACTTTTCTTGATCTAAAAAATGCATCTCAAAATAAAAAAGTGGCATAGCTTATGAAAAGTTGTTAACTGTATGACAGACTGTCTAAATGTGTATTATTTAAAAAATGTTTTATTTCTGGATTAACTTGCCATCCATTTCTCAAAAACTCAAGGTACTGCCCATTAGGGAGATGGAATCAAGTCAAATCCAAAGCAGTTTCCTCCATAGTCTCTTTCTCTTTATACTCTGTTGCATTCTTTCCTCAGAACTGCCAGTACGGTCAAGTATAGTTCTGCACAGAAGTATGCAGGCTATTATACATGGGACTTCAGAGTAAAGATTGACCTTATACAAAACAAACCTGTTGATGTTTTCTCTCCATCTCCTCAAGTTCTGCTTCCACTTTTGTCTGTTTCTCTCTCACCTTCATCAACTCCTCATCTTTAGCCTGAAGTTCTTCCTCCTGTCGAGTAACCTGCAGAAGTGGCTTCACCTGTAAGGAAATTAGAAAATCTGTGTGTGAAAGGGCAAGAAAATGTGGTAGCGTCACACAATCAAAAGTGTTAGTAAAAGAAATAGCCAACCTTTGTGAAAACTCTCCACCACTGCCAGTGCCTTAGTTTTAAATATGCTGCACAATTCCTTTGCAGGATTTTTAAAGCACTCAACTGCTGCTGTTTCTTTGCAAAAGCCCTGAGAACAGAAAAATAAACCATTTTCCATATTATATACAGCCAAGTGTAAAGTATGTTTAATAGTTAGATTATCCATTCTAGAATGCTTCTAAGCTATAACAAGACTACAGTTGAGTATCCATGGCTAGTTCGATTTATGAGCAACAGAATTCTAGAGTCCTTATTCCTCATATAGAGAGAGCAAGATGTTGTAAGAACTGATCTTCTATGCTAGCAGTATTAAAAAGGCAAATGACTAAATAGTGCAATCTCTCTGAACATTTCCCCTATTTCCAGAAAGCAACCCTCCACAGAAAGTTTGAGAAACATGTGGTTCAGAAGAAATTTTCATAGATAGCCATGATATAAATAAAAAGATTTTTCTTGATGAGTAGCATCTAATCAGCAATTTAAAAATAGCACTGAAAACATACTCTACCGTTTCATATGAACTTTCTAAATAATGATTACTGACAGTTATGCAATTTATCATATAACACCTTTCTGTGGGTTTAGCCAGTCTTTCTAGCTCTTATCTAAAAACTTAAGTTTACATTTAGATATTAAGAAAAAATGACTGCATAACCAGCCCACTTATTAGAAGGTCCTTTACTTTCTTGCCAGATATCCTCTGCAGACTGCTTGGAAGAAAATAATGATGTCTGTAATCTTCAGGTCCCGTTCTTCTTCCAAATGTGCCAAGACACCAGCTCGAAAAAAAATCTTGCTCTGTCCAATTCTGTATAAGTTCGGGTCCAACTCCAAAGCTCTGATCTATGATGCAGGCATATTAATATTTGTAAAACAGTAAGACAAAATACTTTCAGCTTCAAGGTTTAAAATATGTTGCATCTGAATTTTCTAAACACGTACCATTCGTTCACAAGCCTGTTTGCCATCCATAAAACCTTTAGGTATGGCATTGGGAGTAAGTATCTCATATCTGTAAATTAAGCCAAAAGTAAGCCATTAGACCTTACAATAATTTACCACAGAATTATACTCATGAACATTAACTTTCCCTTTATTTCTCAACTAAGCTTGAAACTTTCCTGTCAAGAGAAGCAGGGAAGAATAAGCCAGTAGTCTTAATGTTTTAACCAGAAACAAACCAAAAGACCATTGCTTAATCCAGTAGTCAGTACAAGAATATTTGGAATTCTTGAAAAACAAAATTTCTACGTGATTTATATCTATAAATAAAGACCCCTGCAAGTGTTTCAGGGCAGAAGTATCTTTATGAAATTATATACCTTTTTCAACACAAAAATTAACATAAGGAGATGTGGGAAGTCTTCCCCAAGAGAAAAAATGCATCTAAAATTCTTCATTTTGGAACCAGGACTGTTAAGATAAAATAAGCTGTTTTATCCTAGAAAGCTCTGCATATTCAAAAATCACTCTCTGGATGCAAGCAGGCCACAGGGGAGTGTCCCCAAGCCATTTTTTTCCAAGTGGTTAAATTCAACCAAGAACAAAAAGTTGCATTTTCATAATTAACCTTGGTATCAAAATGCTTATGACAACTTCGAAAAAGGGGCGTCAGCCTTAAAAAAATTTAAATACAAGATGTAGAGGTTTGCTTTAGAGCCATTGTGGCAAGACAAAAGAAATAGCAGTAGGACAGGGGAAAAAAGCAGCAGCATGTAACCCCTTTAAGCTCAAGTCATCTATATTATAAAATAAAAACATTCACACACACAAAAACCTGAACTGTTTTCTCTAGTACCTCTGTCTAAATTCCTGGAACACGATCCTGTTTGGAAATCCTTGCCGACAAATCCTTATTCCTTCCAGAACGCCATTACAACGTAGCTGATCTAGGACCAGGTGAGGATCTAGCTTTCCAGCCTGTACACATGAAGAAAGATCATCTTTATTCTTTGAAAGTGTAGACAGGAAATACAGTTATTACAGACTTCAGGACTTCATCTATGTCTCCCTCTGCTGTGAAACAAAAAATGATTCAGTGCATGAGTTGCTACAATGCTTGTGAAGTACATACCCTTTTCTCATGGTTTGGAATAATGCAGCGAACAAAATTTGGATTAGTGTTTCGAAGAGTTGCCATCAGTTTGGTGAGAGATTCCTTGTACAGCTGCCCCACTGTACGAAACATGCCCTTCTTGGTCTTGTATGCAGAGCCAAAAGCCGTCTCTGTCATACCAGTGACTTGATCCAGACCCACAATACGGTCCACTAAAAAAAAAAAAAAGGACAAGAAAAATAAATTAAAAGGCAGGCCTTAAAATTAACAGGATACAAAAAAATACAGTACAGAGGAGCAACAAAGCAGCAGCAAAAGCTTTGTGAAACAAATGATAGAAAATGCCATCTGTAGGCAAGGCAGTCAGCATGTATTAGGGAAACTGTGCAGAAGCAGTGGATTTGAAAGCCACAAACTCATATGTCTAAATACTATAGCTTTGACAAATACACACTAAAAAACATCAAGCTCTTTTTATTTTGCAGTTCTAATTACACCAATAAAAGCCACTGTCTCTATTTCAGTGAACTTCGGACTGATAAGCCACAGAAGTGCTTGAAAACTGCCGACCATGTATGATGTGAAAATGCTTAAGGTAAATAATTCCAGAGACTGAAACTTTGAACTGCACGGAGCTGCTTAAATAAGAAGTTGCATATTAATATAATTAAATGAAAATCCTGATTAATTTTAAGATTTTATAGACATTTCCTTTCACTGATCATATAAGTTATTGTTGTGCAAAAAAAACGAACGTACCAGTTCTCCCAAACCAAAGGTACTTTGAAAAACTGTAAAGACTACTCAGCCAAAAGTATAATTCGAAGTATGAAAACTGTACAACAAAATTCCAAGAGTTTCAAAGCTTCAACAGAGCATCAGGATAGAAAGACTTCAGAAATAATTAAAAAGTGCAGTCAGGTAGATCTTTCTATAATTTGTCCCTGATCAAACAAATGGAATGCTAATATCAAAAGAAAATGCTTAGACCTAGAGAGTAAATGCAACTTAAACTAGATTTCTTAAAGAAATAAAAAAAAGGGTGTGTGTGTGCGTGCGTGTGCGCGCACACGCGCAGGGCAGCTGTGCAGCTGCACCCAGCATTTGATTCCTTTAAACCCAAACTTTAAAAACAACTGCCAGAAAGAGAAAGTGGCATTTCTACTCCAGGCAGCCAAATGATTTCATATAATGTAATTTCTCCTAACCTCTCTTTACTTTGCCAGACGTTAACAACTCTTTCTCCTTTATAATGATCTTGATGCTCCACTATTCAAGCTATCCTTCCTTTTACAATTTTGTTTTCTGTTAGCCATTCCTGGCAATGTCTCTCTTGTATTTCACAACCATGCAGACTGTTTTTAGCTCTAGATAAAAGCTTTAATTCAGGTGTGGCAATATTAATTCAGGTATAGAAATGACCGACACCAAAGTACCAGAGGCACTGTCACAACACTTAAGACGACTAGATTTTGTTTCATGAATCTGAATAAGAGATATACATTTATCTATAATAGCTACAAAACTAATAAAACAATTATCTTTTGCTTTTTTTTGCCTAGTTTGTTTAAGCTTAATATTTTTAAGAAATTAGTGCACATAACAATAAAGTTATATTTGTTTTTGCTTTGCTCAAGCTGAATAATGTAGTGCTAGCTCCCTAGCATATTAGTAAAGTAAGGCTTGTAGCTTCTCCTTAACTGGAGAAAAATATTTCTTGCGTTACATGCAATCATGTGCCACACCATCTTGCATTCCCCTTTTCTGAACCCTAGATCCATTCATGCTTATATAGTATGTACTGACTTGTCATAAGGTTCAAACAAATAGCAGGAAACACAAGCTGTATTAGGATTAGAAATGAAACTCCTAGGGCATGTCTCTATGGAGTGCGCACATGCAATCTGTGGTGCCACAAACCCATCTGCGGCTCTGCAACCTGCATGTGCCACATGTGCACGTGTTTGCCTCACTGCTAATTTGCAGCTCTGACACTGGGAGACTGCAGTGTAAAAGAAAAAAAGCGGTGTGGTGCACGTGGCTGCAGCATGCATCACCCGAAACCATAGCCTGGCTGGCCAGAGCCGCACTCCAACTGCCCACCAGGCTCCACGCACCTGGACTGTCATCACTGTAGCCCTGAGAAGCCCCTAGGACTCCAGGTAAGGCTGCTCTGGCCCCAGCCTCTCCTACCCTACCTGGGGCAAGTTGCTGCATGCCAGAGTGCATGTGCAGGTGTGCTTAGGGACAACTAGCAGCAGCACAAATTAGTGCCACTGCTATTTGTCTTCAGGGAAATGCACATTTCCACTCATGGGGATGCACCCCTATAAACTAAAATTCAGAAAAGGTTTATTTAATCATCAAAACAAAACAAAGGCTTTGGGTTCTGCACATACTTACTAAACAACTTTTTATTTCAGATTTGTACACAATTCCTACTTTCATAATTCCACTACTCAAGTGGAGATTAAAAAACCTGAACATATCTGCAAGTAGTGTTCAGTGAGAAATGAACAATATGGAGTGTAAAGCCCACAGCATCTTATAGATACTAAACTCTATTAGTATAGTTGTCATATATGTATATATCTATCTATATATGCTTCATTTAAGGCCATGGATAGGTGTTCATTCTAGCTCCATGGCAAGTTCTCCAGCCATGAGCCACTTGACAGCTGCTCTCTGGGCAATCCCCACCCCTAATTGACTGCTTGCCCTCCCCGGTGCCTGGGAAAGGGGCAGGTGGTCGACTGGCAGTGGGCAGCTGCTGAAAACAGCAGATGCTACAGACAGCCCAGGGTTCCAGCACTGGGAAAATGTTCACCTGCCCATTCCACCAAACAGCTGATTGGCAGTATGGGGTAGAGGTTGGCAGGAAGGAACATTCTCCCATGATGGGAACCCTCCCAAAAACACTTCTGCTCTGTGCACTCTTCTGGGCTGACCCAGAGGATCACAGGGGAGGCAGATGCTTTCTCCCACAGTGGAAAGGTTTCAGGAGCCTTGATGCCATAGCACAGCCTGTATCCCCCACAATACTCCTCTGGGTTAACTTGGATGACTGGGTGGGGAGGGAAGTGGTGGGTAGCCAGGGGCTATTCTCCTTAACTGCAACCATGCTGGGGGCGCAGAAGAATTCCCTACAGAAAAATGCCCCCTCCACTCCCACCAGGAAGGCAACTGGCAGGATAGAGGGACCATTTTCCTGCAGCAGGACCCTGATCCAAGAGGGTTTCACCATGGGAGAGAGGAAGGGAGGGAGAGCAGAGGACTGAGTCCTTCAGTGTCTGTCCTGTGTGAAGTGTACAGCTGCTCAAGTTAGCTCAGGAGGAGAAGGGACATCTTCCTAGTAGGTATCCAATCTACCTTGTTGCAGAAGAGCCAGTTCTCTTCCACAATAAATCCCTTGAATGACTGCATGCTTTTTTTGTACACGGAGAAAGGCTTTTCTCTCAGTACAACTGTAACACCTTTCCATGGTCTAACCATCTGACTAGGTCCATTGTTATGTACTTAAAATAAAACATGTACTAAAGCATTTGTAGGATCATGTCCCAAATGTTTAATTGAAAGCAGAGGTACTATTCTGAACTAACAAGTTGCTTAAAAGCTGCCTTTGAATCCATGTTACAGAACATGGAACAAACCAGCGGTTTTCAAATATTAAAAGACATTGTCTATAAAAATGAAGACAACAGTAACAGCTAAAAGCTCATCGCTGAAGTTCCCTTTTACATCCAAGATTGCTGACCCATTTAATTGTGCACATTTACCCATGTCACTCTCGCATCTGGTTGAATAATTAAAAAAAAATAGAGAAATGTTTAACAATGTAAATGCTCCTTTTTAAAGAAAGGTAAACATACATTTTCCTTAGACTGCTCCAGTAGTACTATAGGGCTTTGTTTTAAATGCATGAAAATGGAGTCAGTCAGGTGCTTAGGGATGACCACATGTTTAAAGCCCCCTGGCTGAAGTGCAACAAAGGCATGTTCTCCAGCCAGGGGGCACTTCCACACCTTCCCTCCTCTTCCCCACACTGTGAGCCCAGGTCCTGGGCAAAAAAAAGTCAGCTGGAATTGGTTTGGGGCTACCCAGAAGCCTTTCAAAGCTCCTAATGTTTAATGTGCTACTGGTGCTTGAGCAATTAGTAGCCACTTAAGAAGTTTCCAGGGTGCAGACAGCCGTACCACCCTTGCTGCCAGGGGGCTCACTGTGAGCCTCCAATTAAGGCAGAGGCCTACAGGTTCTCCAGCCCTACCAGCTGCTGACTCTCCTACTTGCACAGAGGTACAGGTCAGGGGTTGAGCAGGGGGTTGCTCCCTACACGCAGTAATGGGAGGTGATCAGGGAGCACAGGCCCCCTACCCCCATCCACCCCTGCTTGCAGGGTGACCCCTCACACTTGCCATCCAACTGCCGGGTAGGATGGAACTCTGTTCTCTACCCTGTTGGGACCAGAGCTGCTCCTAGTGCCTGCCAAGGCACTGGAGACTTTGAAGGGTATATTGGCAGCCTGGGACCTGGGCTCCCTCACACCATTTAAAAGTCTTGGTACACCTGCAGGACCTTGATGGTTCACAGCTCCAGCCTAAAACCATGGCACACTGGCCACTGGTTTTCCCAGCCCCCAGGAAGAAGGTACATTGGGACCTTTCAAGGGCAAGCAGGCAAATCAAAATAGAACCCTAGTTTCTCCAGCCTGGCAAGCCCTGCCAGCAGCAGCCCTGTCTTAGTTATGGCCAGCTGGCAACAGGGGCAGGATGGACTGCAAACCTCTATGACAGAAGGTGGGGAGAAAGAACAGAGCACTGTGGGATAGTGATGGTCTCATTACTTGGCCAGATGTTAAATTTGTCCCAGTTGAAAAAGCAACTTTTATCATGGATCTGCTATTTTTCTGGCAGATTGTCCCAAGATAAAAATGGACAAATTCCTTCAACATCTGACATACTGTAATTCGCTGTGGGAAGCTTGTGTATATCCTGGGACAAATGCAACATCTGGAGAAGCATTAAAGAACAATGGTGGACACTGAAAGAGTGGTACCTAGGAAAGCTATTAGTTACCTTCATTAAACTGAACAAGAACACATTAAAGATTAAAATGATCTTGAGTTATTTTGTAAATCAATAGAAATAGTGATGGCTTATAGACATACCTGATATATGGCAGGTTGCAAAGATAACCAATTTTCAATTATTTAAAAAAACTGAGGAGTTAGGATAGAATATTTCAAGTGTCACAGAAGACTTTTTTGCAATCGAAAGCATAAAATATTTACTCAGTTGCTCACAAAAAAGAGTTATGGCAGTTTTACAGAAACATCAGTATTAACATTAGAGTTTTTTAATAAAAGCACAGCTCAACGGAGTTGGAAAGAAGCCCATTGCAAATCACTGGTTAACTAAACCAGTATCATTCACCAACTCATATACATTAAGTATTTCTTTTCAAGGTACCTACATGTTCTTAATATTTTTTAATGTTTTTAAAGAGTTGGGATATTGAACATAAATATAAAGATACTGAGAAGCCTATAAGTTATCTAAAAGTCTTTAACTAGAATATATTACCTATTTGAAAAGCAATTCTGTATCATCTAAAAACACAAGCAAGGAAGCAATAAACCTTTCCATCTACAAAAAACGCAGTGCATAAAATACAGATGCTATATGTATGCAGCAGCAACTGAATAGGTATGCACTCAAAAACACTTGCCTTGTGGAGGTGTATCTAAAATTTAGCATGGAATGAAAGGTTCATGCAAGCCTACGAGCAAAAATGGTTTTCCTGTAGACACAGTCCTGCCTTTAGGAGACCTATAGTTTTTATATACATTCACCTGGTGCATCATGAAGACCAGTAATATTGTCATAGAAAGAGGCTCTCTGAATATTCTGAATCTCTAAGGCAGAGAAACAGCAAAAACAAAGACAGAAGAGCAGATATACAAGACACTTTAGTTAGTATACAGAACATGTTTAAAAACTGCAAGCAAACTTTAAGATTGTGCTACAAAAACAATTATGCTAGAACATATTCCATGCACATATCAAACATCTGAGGATCCAGATTTTGACTATATGGACTGACATTTGTTTGCAGAGCAAACAGATTTACTTGAAAGAAAAAAAATAAAACGACAGATTACAGGCTAAAACAAGTTTTATATATGTACACACAAAAAACTTGCTCTCTGCAGCTGAATCTAATCACTGGGATATTCCTTAGCCTGTAAGTAAATAGTAAACTCAGCATTAACATATTGCTTGGATATAGCTATATCATGAAACAAATGGGCTAGGTACAGACACTCAAAAATCCTGAGGCAGAATTGATCCAAGTTAGGTGGTTTTCTGTAAGTGATATAGTTGAAATCAGTAGCAAACATAACGTACGTTTGTCCTCGGGGGGGGAGGGGGGGGAATGTATGTGCAAATTTTAGACCAGGTTCTGCCATTTTTAAATCAGTCCATGTGTGCCAAACTTCTGTTCTGTTATGGGTATAGACTGTGCTCCTTTAATTACTTTGGTGGACAAGAGAAATCATATGCAGCTAGTTTAGCTGATGTGTAGATAATTAGCTAAATGTCAATGTGGAGTCCAATAAAAACAATATTGCATTAAGGAGTTTTAAATGTGTTATGCTGTAAACACCAGTATAACTTATTCTGGTTTGAAGAGACAGACTTTCTAGGATATTGGCTTCCCATTTGTTATGGTGAGCAAATAATCATGTTCTTGTTTTCACAAAATGCAAATCTTGGTTAGCAACAGCACCACCACAACTGATGCTTATACCTAACTCTAAGGGACTCACTCCAGTATAGGGTTTCATCTAGAAATTGAGACTTCCGTGCATGGCAATGAGTTCTACAAGCTGTAAGTGATCAAATAGTTTAAGAAATGGACGTGAAAAGCAACTCATTAGAGATGGTACATGTGCAAAGAACCAGATTCATACTATGGAAGAAACTGGATCCCCTGCTTGTACTTTTGGCTGTGAACATTTTATCCATGCCAACAGATAGAAAGAAACTAATGATCTGAAGGTCTGAAAAGCATGAAAACATAAAACACCTTTCAAACAAGATGCATCTCATTATATAAATTGTTGTGCACCCAGACTACGCTCTTACCATCCTTCCAAAGCTCTGCAACAAATTTGTCAGAAGACTGGTGCAGGAGTGTAGCCACATTATCATTCAGAGGGTCCATATTCTTCATGAGCCACTCATCTGCCTTGTAGTCTACCTATAAAGAAGCAAGCAAAATTACACCTGGACAGTTTAGTGGACACTGCTGGCTTGAGGTTTTAAATTAAACTAGCCTTTAAAAAAATTTACAATAAGATGTCCTTTTTTCTTAATCTTTCTCCTTTATACCTTTTAAAAGGTTTTACACCTCCATTCTCTTATTAAGGTTTGTATGACTCTAAGAGTTAGTATATTTCTCCTTACTAACAAAAAAAGTACCGTAAAACATTTTAAATTAAAAATATATATTGTGCAATTTTAACAGTCTTTGTTCTTTTAACAATGAAATCACAACTTTTTTCAGATAAAGCCTCAGTACGACATAATGCCCATTATGGAGATGTCAAAAGAACCCCAATGCGGTAAGACTTTAAATGACTGCACTTAAATTACAAAAGGTAAAATTAACAGTTTAGTACAAACAGATACTTTTAGCTTGATGACTATAATAATTACACAACACATTGTTATTTAAGTATACAAAAAATAAACAAAGCTTCTATCTTGACAGCATACATATTTTAGGTTGGAAATCTTCCAATTTTTTTTTCCTGTATAGAATGGTATTGCTCAAAAAAAAAGAAAAGAAAAAAAAAATCAGTTTTCATAGTCTTTTGTGACGTCTCTTAGCTTAAGTGCACAGAATGCCTATTTTCTTATTTGTGATCTCTTAACTTCCCTATTGCAACTATGGAAGAAATTGCTGACATTAAGATACAGGGAGTTCTGTCTCAAAGCTACTTAGCAGCTAGGAACAAGAACCAAGCAGCAGCCAAAACCCAGAAGCATCCAGGTCTCTGAAAACTACACAGACCAAAGTTTCTCCACCTGTTAACTGCAGGTAAGGCAGCTAACAAGATAAGTATTAACTCTGCCACCAGTTGAGCACTTCTAGAGCTTCAGTCTTCTCTGCCTTCAGATCATATGATTGATTGAGGACAGCCACCGACATCTACCAAAACAATACTCTTGGCTCATACTCTAAAATGCAGTTAAGATGCTGTCACCTTGACTTACACTCCCATACCATCACATCTGGAAGACGATAGGGGAAGTGTTATGTACAGAACAAGTGACACAGAGGTCATATCAAACCCTCAGTACTGGGGAAAGCAGAAGTTGCAGACAGTTTGATACCGAGGAGGTTGGGAAGGCAGCATATGGACAGGTTGTATGAGGAACAGAAATGTATACAGACATTAACATATGCAATGAGCTCAACAGCACCTATAGAAGCTAGCTAAATGGTTGTACATGCGGCAAAGGGGGAATGCAATTTAAATCTTTTTGTCAATGGAGATTTCCTTCTGTCAAGCATGAAAGTAAAATCCACTCAGAAGCTGATTGCAGCTATTTCACACACACCATATATATCAGCATAACAAATGCTGATTTTTGACAATGAGGGGGTGGGGGGAACCACCTACCAGAATAACATTATTTACAGAAAAGGAAGTGTTCATGTAACCCTGGAAGCCCAAGGAGAAAAGAATTCTAGAACAAACAGAAAAATTCAATGGCAACAAGTCATATCTGGCCTACGTAACAGGGGTGTGCAAAACAGGCCATATTAGATTTGGATTTGGCCCAAAATTGGGGACAGTGATTCAAATCACTGATTCAGATCACTGTCCCCAATTCGATTTGACTGAATCCAAATCTGAAGACTTGATGCCGATTTGGAGAATCAGCAATTCGGCCATAGACACAGCTTTAAAATGTTTTTCCTACATTCCTCGAGGTACCAGGTGCAGCTCATGAATGCTGCCATGCTGGGGTGGATGGAGCATCCCACAGGAGTGGGGGTGGGGGGGGAGGTCCCCTGCATGCTCAGTGGACCTGGAAGTGGACTGGAAGTACTTCCAGTGAACCTGGAAGTGGACTGGAAGTGCTTCTGGTTCACTTCTGGGTCCGCTGGGGAGCACGTGGCGGGCATGCTTGGCTCGGTGATTGGCCATGGGGGGACCCTGGGTGCCCCCAGGAGACACCAGTCACTGAGTCAAAGGGGTCACCGGGGTGGAGGGGGGGGAAAGGGGGGAGCTTGTGGCCACCACACTCTCCCTGGCAGACCCATAAGTGGACCAGAAGTACCAAGCACACTGGGGAGCACCCAGCAGTCCTGTGAGACACTCCATTCGCCCCAGCATTGCAGTGTTCACGAGCCGCCTGGTACCTGGAGGTATGTAGAAAATACATTTAACACTGTGTCTATGTCCGAATCATCGAATCTCTCCGAACCAATTCAGAGGCCTCTGATTCGATTCGGAGAGATTAAAAGGGTCTCCTGATTCGATTTGGAGATTTGGCCACTGAATCAGGCTGAATCTCTGCCGAATTGAATCAGGGACTGAAGCTTCGCACAGCCCTACTAGATAGATGATATAAGTACTAAACACTGGCAATAGTTACAGACTTAAAGTGAGCCATTTCATCATGGTAAGTTGCCTTTTCACAACTGGGGTCCAAGTCCAGTCAGTCCCAATAGCAAACAAAGACTGAAAGAGTAATGAAGACCAAAATACATTTTTAGCCCTAAATGGGATTCTTCACACACCTGCACTTAGAAAGAGAAGCATAAAGATGGGAAAAAGTAAAAAGCTGGTATTGTCACTAACCTGTCTGTTCAAAACACAGGACTTCGAACTCAAGAGCCATTAAATCTACAATCTTAAGAATGCCAATTTCAAAGCAACTAAATTCCTTTCAACAGAAACCCTTATAAAAAATCCAGCTGCCATGCAAAACAGCGTCAAATAGAATAAGTATTTTTCCAATAACTAATACTTGGTGAATATAGTCATTGAACTAAATAAACCATTTTAGTCTATTTTTAAATCTTATATTTCTTCTATGTTTATTTAACATCCTCTAACAGTTTTAACACTTTACAGTATGGTTCAGTAGTATGAATGTAATTCCCAAATGCTTTAAGAAAGAAGCTAAACTCTTCTTACATTTGAGCCATATGTCTAAATATCATATTTTCTTGCATATAACCTGCACATTTTCCCCCAAAAACCAGCTGGGGAAAATTAAAAGTACTCATTTTATGCGAGGAAAAGGTCTCCCCATGGGTCTGAACATTTGGCAGGGGCAGTGGGGGACAAAGCAGTGCAGTGCTAATTGCTGCAGCTTCCTTCCCTCCCTTGCCAAGTTTCTGGATCTGTACAGGGTTGGACCCAGAGCACTTGAGTCTGGGACTGTGCACTGGCTTTGTAACTGTTGCTGATGTGCCCATATCAGACCTAGACACAAGATCCCAGACCCAGTGCCAGCACAGCTTCCAGCCCTAGCATGTGGCTCCCAATCCCTAAGCTCCGAGTCCTGGCACGTAGTCCCCAACCCTGTAGACCTCAGAGCTCAAATACTTAACCAAACTCTAAGGTAAGATCTTTTTTCCTTCTTGGAGCCTTCTCAAAAGGAGATGCATGTTATATTTGGGATGTTATAAATCAGAAAAAAGATGATAATATAGCTAAACCTTTAAGAAAAATCTTCTATTTACAACAGATCAGTCATTTTCTGAACAAATGGTTTACCATGCAACCCTTACCTTCCCTGCATAATGAATAATGCAGAAATCAGCCTTGTCCTTTAGTTGCCTTGGTTTTTGGAATTTAGAGTGGGATCCTTGTTCTTGAACCAATTTTTCCACAAAGGTCTTGTCAGTAGCTTTAGGGAACCAGCACTCTTCATCAAGTAAAGCCAATACACCAGGAGGGTTTGCCTAAGAAAGAGGTATTGGATATTGAAGTAAGCTTTTACACCAACACGTTTTAAAAAAAAAAAAATCTGCATTGACTGTTAAAACCATTGTTGAGACCTGATTTAGTAAATTTTAGTTTTATTTACACGCAGAAAATTGAGAGAGAGAGAGAATTCTTTGGACAGATACATATATTATAAATCCTGCAGAACATCCTCACTTACAGGGCAGATCCATGCCTTTTAAAGTACAACTGTAGAAGCCCTAGGTTACAGAATTCAAATGGTTTTCATTAAAAAAAAAAAAGTCTTGAGAAACGCAAAATCTTTACCCCACTTATATATACAGGTGTTTTTTTTCTTTTTTAAAAAAGGTGTTACCCCATACCATAAGGTCCAAGCACCTCACAATCTTAATGTATTGATCTTCAAGGCCTAGATAAGATAGGGAACAATAATTATCCTGAATTTGCAGGTGAGGATATGTTGTATGTCATTATCTTTTCAAGGGGAAGCAGATTCTTGCTAGTCTTGTATGCAAGAAAATACAAGAAATTAATTTATGAAATTTTACACATTAAAACAAGTTGCTGTTAATTTGCCTGTTCACACAATTTGTAAGATATGGCTGCATGAACGGCACATGGCCCCTGTGGCAGCAAGCGGGGGAAGCTCCCGCAGATGCTGCTGGGGGGTGAGGAGTGCTGACCAAGGGTCAGCAACCGCTCAACAGCGTCGGCAGTGGCCAGCGGGGGAGGGCAAGCGGCAACCACCCACAGGTGCCACCGACAGTTTCAGCAGCGCCTTTTTGTAGGGGTTGCATTGCCATGCTGAGGGGGTACACATGCACCCCCTATGCGTCACCCCTGTATGGCTGTATGAGGCAACTGTACATATCGTGTAACCATACAACTTAATTTACAGGAATATTAAAGAGGAAATAACAGCTGGCTCTTAATTTCTTGAGAATTTTTTGAACATTCATGCTAAACATCCAGATACTGAAAACATCCACAATTCTCCCCTCAGGTTTTTTAGCAGAATAAAAGTTGTTGCTTCCAAAGAGGCAAAGCCCTCCAAAGTGATAACTGAAATAAGATTTCCCCTTGATAATCTTAAAGAAAGAAAGAAAAAAAGGTTTATTGGACCTTGATGCTATTGGTAAAAGTAGACCATTTTTAGGAAGAAAAGTGTAAAGTTTACTTTAGAATACAAATGGCTGAATATGAAGCGCTAGTAAAAGCAAAATAGCTCAAATGTAAAAAGATACGAGAAGACTGACTTAGAGCTTGAAATGCTGGTCACAGGAAGTTACGTCACCAATCCTTGTTTGTATGGACTGTTAGCATGCAAGCATGCAGTGCCAGGTTATGACTAAAGAATTTCTCAGGGTGCTGTTGCAGGTTACCTTTAAAACACTTAAAAACTGTAGAACGTTATAAGTCATAAAGCTAAGAACAGTTTCAGAGCAGCCGCAGGTTAAGGTTTAATGCCATCTCAGACTGCACAACAGACTTTCCATTAGAGGGCCTGGTGAGCGGGAGCATGGACAAGAGCCAGGACTTTTCCTGGGAGAGGAGAGTGTGGCACATAGCTCAGATGTGGAAAAACCACCATGGTGACTGTGGCTTCCCTCACTTTGCAGCCTGGAGGAGGTGGGGGCAGGACCAAAACACATTTGAAGTGAATGGACAGGGGAGAGAAGTAAAGAGACAGGGGGGAGAAGTAAAGAGAAAATCTTGCATGTGTTTCACTGAATTAAGATGGGGGAGTGGAGGTTGGTAGTGGTGGCGAGGGCTGAGCCGAAACTCACACCAGGACAGAGCCGAAACTTAGCAGGCTTATTGCATGCATGACACTGAAATAGAGCTGAGAACCAGTTTGCGGCCTACCTGGTGGTTTCCATTCTCTGGTCTATATTTTTAATGGAGATAGGTAGTAGGGCCATGCAAAGCTTCAGTCCCCGATTTGATTTAGCAGAGATTTGGCCTAATTTAGCAGCCGAATCTCTGAATCTGAATCAAATTGAGGACCTTTTAAATCTTTCTGAATCAAATTGGAACCCTCCGAATTGATTTGGAGATAGACCCAGATTTAAATGTTTTTTCTACATACCTCAAGGTACCAGGCAGCTCGTGAATGCTGCAATGCTGGGGCAAATGGCAGGGGTGACAAGTAGGTGTGCATGCGGGTGCACGTGCACCCCAAGCATGGTGGTGCACCCCCTGCAAAAAGGTGTCACTGACATAGTTGGCGGCACTTGTGGGGGGTCCGCAATTCTTGTTGACCACTGCTGCTGGTGGCTGGTTGCTGACCCTTGATTAGTGCTCACCACTCTCCCCCCCTCCCCTGGCGTCTCTGGGAGCTCCCCCGCTTACTGCCACCACCTTGCCCCCCCAGCCACCAGGGGTATGTGTCATTCATGGCTAATGGAGCGTCCTGCAGGAGCACGGGGGGCTCCCCAGCGCGCTCGGCAGTTGACCCGGAAGTGGACCACAAGCACTTCTGGGTCTGCCAGGGGGCCCCCCTATGCCCCCCAGCTTGGCGACTGGTGCCTCCTGTGTCCAGGGGTGAGGGGGCACCTGGGGTCCCCCCATGGCTGATCTCTGAATCGGCATCAAATCTTCAGATTCAGCCAAATCAAATCAGAGACAGTGATCCAAATCAACGAATCAAATCACTGTCCCCACTTAAGGCCGAACCTGAATCGGATAGGGTCCACTCTGCACACCCCTAATAGGTAGTAGGATTGCTATTGTTTGCATGGGGGTGCTAAAGGAAGCAGCAAACTGGTGAACTGCACCTGGGTGCTCAGAGTGGTCAGGGTATGCTGCAGCTGCATCCACTCGGGGCAAGAGGGGGTTTGGCTTGGGGCCATCACCACCCACTTTGGCAATAGAGTTCAGGAGGGTTGAAAGTTTGCCTACGGAACAAAGGCAGACAAGGTTCTTTGGGTAAATCCAATATATTTTATTAGATCAACTAAAGTATGGAACAAAGGAGTGGAAAGGGCTGGGATTGGTACATGCTAGGATGTTGTAGGAACAAAAATGGAACAGTTTATCTTATTGGAGGAGACTAACAATACCCAGGAATGACTTAGATAAAATGGATCAAAAGATACCTCCCACCAGAAGTGGCATAAGTAAAATGGTTAGAGCAGCTGTTTCCAACATGGTGCCCACAGGTACTGTGGTGCCCCCTGAGGTTTATTCAGGTGCCCACATGCATTTTCACAAGCAGTAAAAATCATTATTCCAACAAAAAATGCTGTTATAAATTGGTGCCCGTTGCTTTTTCTTTTAAATTCCAATGTGCCCTTGGGCACGTAAATGTTGGGAACCCCTGGGTTATAGGGTACTTAACATGAATTAACATCCTTTAATGGGAGAATGCTCCCATTGTAAGCATCTTTATGACAGTTTAAAAGGTAACCTGTAACACTGACCTGAGTCTCTGGTCTATGTTGCTTTTAATTATATTTTAGAAAGTTCTAACACAAAATAAGATTATGTTACAACAGCTTAATAATTCATTAGAGCATCATCATTCTATACAGAAGTTTAGGATAAACTGAGGGTCCTGGCTGTGTTGGAGAAGGGGAAAATGGAAGGGAAGGATGAGGTAAAAAAAAATCTCTCAGTATTGGTGGGCATCCTGCTTCTAGTGCCTTTTGCAAACAGATTGGAGTGATACTCTACCCTCACATATTGAGCAACCACTAGAATCATCTAGCCAAGTACAATGAAAACAAACTTGAGAAACTGGCCTCCTAAAAGCTCACTCCTACACACAAGGAAAATTTCTGGGGAAAACCTGGACCCACATAAGTTACGGGGAGTTTTGCGCATACAGATGTTAGAGTTTGGACTTCACCCTAAATCAAACATATTAAATATTCTAAAATATTTAGGCATAGCTTAGCTTGAAGATGAAAGCAAAAAAGACCAGGTTAGTAATTTAAAAGATACTAGGTGAAAGTATTTAACTTTATGTCTCCTAACAACGCGCATCATGTCCTCACATACAAATAGGATTATGTCAGTGAGCAAAGTTGAGAAACCAAATTCTACTACTTAATAGTTTATTATCAGTGACTGGATGTTTGAATTAATTTACTTGACAGGACAACTTAAAGAGGATCCATAACTGGCCTGGAGAAGACAAGGAAAAAAGAAAGAAAAGTGCACACACAAAAGGCACAACCCAAACAAAAAACAAAAAACAAACAAACAAAAAAACAAAACAAACAAACAAAAAAACTTACAGGCCTTTCTATTAAATCAATGCAAGGCTGTAGATCCAGTCCAAAATCAATGAAGTTCCATTCTATACCCTCTCGCTGGTACTCTTCCTGTTCCAGGATGAACATGGTGTGGTTGAACAACTGCTGCAACTTCTCATTGGTATAGTTGATACAGAGTTGCTCAAAAGAGTTCAGCTACAAAATATTTAGTGCATGAGTCAAATAATTCAATAGCAGGGTTTTTCATCATTACATACATTGAAAGAAATGTTCACAGAGTAAAAATCTCATTCTATTATAGTTTCCTTCAATTTCATAAGAAGTTTGCTAGGTGTAAAATTATTCAATAATAGTTCAAATCACTGGCAAAATACTGTTACCATCATCACCTGTAGTGGACAGAAGACTGCTATGCAACAGGAACAACCCCCCCCCCCCCCAAAAAAAACCTGCTACCAAAAAATAGATGGTTATTCACGGGTAGACACACTTCAAGAATAGAAATTGTGGCTTCTCAGTTTTTGCCATGATAAGCTAGAGTAGCCGCAACCTTTACATTTCCTAAAACTAATTAAAAACTTCATGAAGTCTTTGTTGCATCTTGCAAGTAATCATTTTACTGCTGTCAGTCAAATCAAATTATTGCAAGTGCTTTAGAGGGAAACTAGTATGTAAAGATATACATTATTTCCTAATAGTTTGCTTTATGATATACCTCAAAGATCTCAAATCCAGCAATATCCAGAATACCAATAAAAGATGCTCCCTGTCGTTTGGTCCTATCCAGAGCTTTATTAATTCGGTGAACAAGCCAGCGGAAGAGACGTTCATAGGTGGCTTTTGCCAAGGCTTCCACTGCAAAATCTGCCTGGAAGTCAAAATATATTACACATTTATTACAATAAATAAGAATATATTGGAATAAATCATATTATAATAACATATATTCAAGAGTTTAAAATCGTACTAAACATCAAAATAACAGAGAGATGTTTTCACAAGTAACTGTTCAAAAGAACTTAAAAAAGTGTAATACAGTCAATTCCACTGAACTAAGAAAACAAACAGCACAGATTTTCATTTGGTTAGCAATGAAAAAAATTAATTTTTAAGCAACATATTAGGTGTTCTGAAAATGTGATACTTACAATTGTATGAGAATCAAGACTAGCAGGAGGTAAAAGATTTTTCTTGTATTCTATACATTCTTTGGTTTTGCCAAACAAAACTATTTAATACAATAATTTGTTTAAAGAGGAACTAGAATGATCATGACGAACTTTAAGCAGCTTTCAGTGAATTTAAATGAAATGTAGCTTTACTTTATTTCTATACACTACAAATCTCACAACTTACTTGTTCTTTAGTTTGGGCTTTCTGAACATAGTCTCTGCCAACTTTAATGCGTGGTGTAAGTATAGCCCGGGTAAACTCCATTACATTCATTCCCAGGAGGTGGCAGAGTTTCTGCGCAACTGAAGTTAAAAAAAACCCAAAAACAAACAGAAACAAGAAAAAGAAGAAAAGAAAATGCTAAGATACTTGAATATTCAAATTGCCACAGCAACTAGTTAGAATATTAAGGCAAAAGGCTCTTGAACTTGTGACTGGCTTAATTATTTTTATTAAAAACTCAAAATAGTCTTATTATATACAAGGCTGATTGTTGTTAAATTATAGCTTATACCTGTAAGGAGCCTGTGTGTAGACACAGACCCCTAGCTTTCCATTACAATTCATTTGTCTTTTGTTATAGAATGCCAGATGTTACTAGCTTAAGAAAATGGGTAGGAGCCTCACATTTTAGCAAGTGACAGACTCAATACTACTAAGGCTTCCTATAATGCACTGCTGCATTTCAATGCAGGCAAGTATGTCAATGGATTGCTATGGATATTTATGACTATGCTGCATCACACCATGCAGAACATTTTCCATCTGTGGGGCTCCTGGAGGGGCTGGAACTCGGGGGCATGGCTAGCAGGGGCAGCACCTACCACCACCACCAAAATCCTAGGTACAGAGCTCTGTTGGGTATACATTTCAGCAGTGGCAGGTGAGTAAATGGCTGTATTAACCTATGTGGCACTGCTGCCACTGATCTGGATGTGGTCCATATGGACACGCAAGTTTGACACCCCTGGTTTAAAGTATCTGATACAGAACAATACGAAAGGCAGACTATTAAGTAAATAGGCTATGGACCTTTTCTGGTTTGGCAACACCTCTACTATTTTTTACTCTTTCTTTCTATATGCATATTCTTTCCTAATTGAATTTACTATTAATAACATAGGCATTTGGACTTGACTATCAGATTCATTTTTGAGGTTAAGATATTCTTAGCTTTAGAGCTAAGTATTTTTCTCAAGTTTCCCAAGCCTCCCAAGTAAAATATCTAGTATGATAATGATAACAACAACAGCCTCTCTTTATTTTCTCCAATATGATATTTAACAAAACAACTGATTTTCTCTTCTACAAAGTGGGAAACTGTTTGTTCTGGAACAGGTGTTAGAAAGTTAGTACACATAAATTACTACCTGCATTTTATTAGTATTGAACATACTGTAATCTGCCTTCAAAGCTCCAGGTTCCATATACTGGTTATACTGCTAACAAAGTTCTAGTGCTGATTACCAGAATTTGGAGAGGCATCTTATTTTGCTCACGTAAGAGGCATAGTTTTCTTATCCTATTAGTGACTGCAAGTACACAATTTCTCTCTCACCCCTTAGGCTAACCTCATTTAACCCTGCAGAGTGCACAGCTCTCCTGTCCACGGTAGTTAAATGCCTCTGGAGACAGACCTCCATGCAGGAAGCAGGAGACTCTCCATCCAATTTAATAGGAAATTCAAACTCGTGCTAAATAAAATGTCCAGCTGCTTAGAATCCTCTCCCCCTTTGACAACATAGGCTGTTTATGCATGAAGAGGATCACTAACAGTTAAAGCACTTGCTCCAGACACCCTCTCTCTCTGAGCTCCCCACCCCCGACCAGCTTCAAGGTGCTTGGACCTATGCCTCCTATGCCTTAGCATACTGGATGCTTGCGAGCATGCCTCCTATGCCTCCAGCACGCTGGACTTACATCTCCTCACAAGCGTTCATAGCTGGGGCATAGCATCTCCCACCCTCTTTCTCTTGAAGCTGGCACTGGGCAGCCAATAGCTAGAGAGTTATGGGGCCAGAAGGAATACAAGCAGAGACGAAGCCCAAGGAAGAGGGTCCTTTCCTGCCCTTGAAGATTGGGAGCTCTGAGTTCTGGCTCTTGCTCCTAAGGATGTTTATGAATTTTAACCAAATGCATCACGGACATTGACTTATAGCCGAACTCATGTAGTTATAATCCAGAGTAATGCCATGACTTACATTTTAGTAATAGGGAAATGACCTAGCTCCATGGAGTTGCAGCAATGCAAGCTAGGGGGTGGGGGCTAAGGGGGATGACTTGCTTACACTGCACAGAGCATTCCAAAAATGAAACACCAATCCTCAGCATGCCCAACTCCACCCTCTGGTATAAACTGGGTGTTGCGGCAAGACGTATCACAGAAGAAAGTGGGACAGTGAACAAGAGTTAGCTGGTATCCCATGCAGCAGCAAGGTAGACTAGCCACAGAATACTGGAAAAGGCTGAATCATGTACACATGTGGGTTTATCTCCAACAAGGAAAGTCAGGGACCTTGAGGTTTGCTACTAGTAATCCATCAGGCTCTCTCTTCCTCCCCAGACACACACTCTTCCCTGTTAAGGATTCTGGGTAATATCTTCCAACAAGTTGTTCCTGTAATGAGGACTGCCATTGGAAGGTTTTCCAAAAAGTCCAGTCTGGGCTTCTATTTCAGCCAATGAGGAGAGCCCTCCTTCTTGTGTACAGTATCATGTGATGAAGCCTGCTTTCTGCAACTGGTACCATTTAGGCAGTTTGCCCAATGTAATGCAAAAAATACACAGATTGTGGAGACAAGGCCTCAGTCCCCCTTGTCAGACCAGTATGTACCTTCCTGAGCCAGTCAGTCAGGCTCCCTCTTGCCTGTTTTCCATGTTTCCAAGTTGCTTTCCCTCTTGGCTGGCCAGAGAGCTAGCCTCCACAGGAAGGAGTTTTTGGTTCTGTCTGGTCTATAGCCATCTCAGAGGGATGCAAATATAAGATCTGGGTCTCTCTCTCACCTCTGACTTAAGACATCTGTGGCTTTATGGCTCCCTCTGTGTTACAAGTACTGTACAATTAATTGTGTAATTGTGCATTTACCTTGAGACCAGCTACACCTGCAAAGTAGCTATTACATGACAAAAAGCTCCAACCAGCTAAAAAGTTAGCCAATGTGTACCAAGTTTACAGATGGTCAAAAATGTGTACTAATTTTACAGATGGTTGCAATTGAGCTTTCATTTGCACATGTAATAGGGTCTCCTCTGCAGCTGGGAGCCTGAGTGCTGACAGACAGGGATGTACCATGCCTAGCATGAAACCCCCGAGGCCTAGGAAACGTGGCTACCATAATCCCCAAGGTTCGGTGCTGCGTGAAACCTCTGGGCTCTCACGGGGTTCTTGGGACTGGCTGTGCTTCATCTGTAGACAGGAATGAGGCACCCTGCAGCTGACAGGGCTCTGTGTGAGGCACAGCCAGGACCCAGAACCCATCAACTGCAGGGATTCTCAGTCCCAGCTGTGCCCTCAAAGGGGGCTCCCAGCCATGGGTGCCTGCTCTTTGCTGATGCAGGGAGAGCCCAGGATTGGGCTCCCCTTACACTGGCAATAAGGTGTAATTGGATCCAATGTGTAATCCCACAATCATATCTCCTGCCATCCATGTGTGCCATGGCAGGAAGTGCAATTGTGTGGATCATGCATTAGATCCAATCATGTCTTTACTTGCACACGCAGAGAGTCTGGAAATTATTTCTGCTTACTGTCCAAATGGAAAAGCTTCCCGTTTGCTTAAAAACAAAATTCTGCTCTTTCAGATTTGGAATATTACCCCTGAAGTACCTCTCTGATGAACTAAAATTGCAATGTGCCTAGATTAATCTGTGAAATAATCAAGGGGGTAGAGAAAAATAAGTGCATCTTTAAGGGCAGAGCCATCCCTAGGTGTGTGGGGGGCCTGGGGCATAAAAGCCTGTGTAGGCGGGGGGATTGGCAAGTGGCTGGAGCGCAAACCTGGTGGCACATGGCAGCCGTGTGTAGTGGTAGCACCCTTGGTGGGGCCTGTACAGCACTGTCTGCAGGGACCCCAAGGAACAGCTCTGTTTAAAGACAATTACGTAATATTATGTTGTGTCCATTTATAGGAGGTTTTTGGTGCCTGTTTAATTGTGTTTAGCTAGACTTTTTCAACCTAATAGGAATTTACATAGAAGGTACTGTGACAAATCATAACTGTTTATAATTTAAACCCAGAAACATAAGAACAACTTTGTTCTATTGTGTATGCCAATTGTGTCTGCATTGAAATATTTTTTATTTGGATACTGTGGAAAGATACATGCCAAACATCTGACTTAAAATTATTTTAAATACAAAAATTATTTGCTTTATAAATCAAGTTTTGAAATCTTAACTACAAAAGATAATTATTAACTCACAACATCATTAATATGGAGCAGAGTGCCTAACTAAATACAGTTCCACTGAAATCCAGCCTTTCCTAACACAAGGGGCCAGTAAGTTTTAGGTACTGAGATCTTGTAGTCACAGCTGTTTAGAGTGTCTAAACAGCTTAGTTTAATGTTTTATTTATTCATTTAAAGAAAAGGGAAGGGAAAAAAAGATTCCAAAGCTATCTTTGGACATGAAAACAACCAAAATTCACTGAAGTTTAGGTGAGTCTTAAATTATTTTCAGATGAAGCCTTCCATAACAGGATTTAGAAGGCTAGAACCCCAGCACTAGACTGAAACACTATGAGGGACTAGTCTCCATAATTAAGCAGCTCTCCCAATACCAAACTAACTAACCTTTAAAGCATTCACTGATACAGTAAATGCTAGGTCACACTGCCCTGCCATTTCAGAAATCAGATATTCTAAATACAGTGTTTAATTTCAGACACGTCACAAAGGAAATTCTGTATAGATTCAGGATTCTGGCATCTGGCAACATAACCAATGTCAAGAGTCAAAGTAAATAAAGCAATTTAAACGCACACTTTTCTCCTGGTGTTTAAGTCTTTGCTGATAAGCAATTAATGAAGCTACAAGTACAATACTTGCTCAGAATTTAGAAGGAACGTAAAACTTTTGGTGTCTGCTGACAGAGTTTTAATTTCTGTACAAATGAAGACGACAGCAGAGAATAATAGAGTTTTAAGAGCTTCCTTATACTGTTATATTCATGACCTCTCCCTGGCAGTGAACTTTACAGAAGCTCAGAAAACTGTACTTGTACTCTGATGCATGATGAATACATTTTAGTCATAAAAATAACAACTTGTCATACAACACATAAGAGGCCCCTAAATACAGCCAATTTACCTGTATTTTCTGGCATAGAAGCCTGATCAGTATTCCTCTCCTTCTTGAAGGAAATATTACCAAATTGCAGTACTGAGGACACCACTTTCAGCATTGCTGTGTCAAAAGACAAACAAACAACACAGCAGTTGACAGAATAAGGGTCATCTTAACCAAACACTCTCATATACATACTTCCCACCCATATTTTCAGCATGCATATAAGCTCAGGAAAAAAAAAAGAATTAAAGTAAGGCAAAAGGTAAAGAAATGTTTACCAGAGACTCTTGATGCATTCAAGCTAGATCAGCTAAGTCTGTCAACACTTTTCATTTGGTTTATAGATACCTTCACACAAAAAGCAAAAACCAAGTGGCTTCTGGAAATCACAAGAGTTTAATAACTTACATAAGATCTCTTCATGGGAAAAGCCCATTATGTGCATGGCTTCCATAGTCTCCTGAAAGTTATCCTTGTCTTGCTGCCCAGGAATGGGGATGTAGCCATTGGATAAAAATCTGTAATTGTTAAATCCTTCTAGCAGCAAGTCAGCTGTAGTGGTGGAAAAATTAAATCCAAGATAAAAGCTTTGCACATGTTTATTTTTCATTTAGTTTAGTTTTCTTTACAAAAAAATAGAATACCATTTTATTCAGTTAATGAATCAGCATTTAAATAAGATGATTATAGGCCATTATACCAACTCAGCAGTTCATTTTTCTCCAACTCTAGACCAATGATTCTCAAATCAGGGTGCCGAGAGAACTTTAAGGGTGCTGCAGAGTGCTACACAAAGGTGTATAATCATGATTCAAAGGATACACCCAGAGATTTCAGGTAGAAAAGCCAGTGTTGGAAATATACTGACTTGTTGTGGTCTTTAAGAGTTCTCTGCAACAGAAGAATTCCTCTAATTTTTGTGCGTGGAAAAATAAGAGCAAACTAAGAGCTGCCAATCTGAGAGTTCTAACAAGACATGACTTGAGTCCAAAAGGGTTGAAAACTATGTTCTAGTCATAAGATAAGAGTTCTAAGATATGTAGCCAACTTCACTATCTTTTTAATATTAAGAAGATGCAGTTACTTCCAACTGGATTTATAACTACCTGGATTAGGTCTTTGCACTGGATAACTACATGCTTTCCTGTTTATGTGTTACTGCATTATTGTTAAGATCCTCTAAAGCAGGCCTTAACATGCATGTTCCTTCTACCCATGTGTGATGGCCATCCAAGTAAAAACTGGCTAAACCACTGGCTTCTCTAACATTAAGGGGGGGGGGAAATCAGGTTTTCAAAAGTGCATTTCCATATATAACTGTGAATCTCTGAGGGTATAAATAAATATTGCCATTATGCCACAAGAACAACCTTTAGGGTGGCACAAAGGGAGAGCAAATAGACATCTATACAATTTGCTGTACCATAAAATGCCCAAATTGGTGGCTGTGACAGCTTCTGCTGCCTTATTGCAGTAAATACTTGTTAACTTTATGGCACAAGAGCTTTGGCAGTCCTTGGCTGCTCCTGCTCACCAGCTGCCTTCGGCAGGTGTGCCCAGGGTTTGAGGGCCCCAAAGCTGCACACCCTGGGAATGCCTGACTGACTTTTCTCCCAGCAAATCACTAGGACACATCTCTGTAAGCCAGGAAACCCTGGCTTTCTCCACTAACAGAGGCTTTCCACAAAGATTCATCTCTGCAAATGGGGAATGTCGCCTACTGTCCTACAGGAGGAATGAGTGAGACGACTGGTGCTGTGCATGTTGCCCAATGAAGTGGATCAGCTGCGCCTGATCAGCTTATGCTTTAAAATTGTAAGCAAACTGAATCAAAAAAGAACCTTCATGTGTTGATAAATGCTCTAGTAGATGCTAGTCTGCACACACACAACTAAAAATATTGGCCCACTTTTACGTTAATCTTGACTGATTTAAAATGCCAAGATCAGCCATTGCTCAAAAGCAGTACATCTTCAAGTAGTTATCATCAGGGGTGTATGAAACGGGCCATGTTCAATTCAGATCCAGCCTGAATTGAGGGACAGTTATTCTATTTAGCTGAATCCAAATCTGAAGAGTCGATGCTGATTCGGAGCATCAGCGATTTGGCCATAGACAGTTTTAAATGGTTTTCCTACATACTTCAAGGTACCAGGTGGCTCATGAATGCTGAGATGCTGGGGTGGATGGAGCATCCCACAGGAGTGTGGGGGGCTCCCCCACATGCTCTGCGGTGGACCTGGAAGTGGACCAGAAGTGATTCTGGCCTGCTTCCAGGTCCACCGCCAAGCGCGTTGGGGACCCTCTTGTGCTTCTGTGGGATGCTCCATCTGCCCCAGCATCTCAGCATTCATGAGCCACCTGGTATCTTGAGGTATGTAGAAAGAACATTTAAAGCCGTGTCTATATCCGAATCATTGAATCTCTCTGAATTGATTTGGAGGGTTCCAATTTTATTTGGAGAGCTTAAATGGTCTCCTGATTTGATTTGGAGATCTGGCTGCCAAACTGGGCTGAATTGAATCAGTGACCGAAGCTTTGCACAGCCCTAGTTATTATACCATGCAATGGTAATTCTTAGTTAATAAGGGATGGAGTTATTCACCATAACCACTCCTCTGGAAAGTTAGTGTGAATGTTTAGGTAGTATGTGAAAACTACATCAATTAAACAGAGGAAGAGAGAGGATTCACTGTCAACAGCAGCTGATGATAACTCTTGGAATAAGTACCACACTAAAATGTTTTTCCTTGGCCTTTCATTGCGTTTTGACCAATGGCTTGGAATTCTGCCCAGTATGCATCTGGCTGTTGCTACCAATATGCTTTGTCACTGGCCACCTGCAGACACTTTAGTTTCAGTTCCTGGCTAGGAGTTAGTGGACCGACTGAATGATCTACAAAGCCTTATATAGCCTGCACTGGTCCAGAACTTGTGATGTGGAAGTTGAATGGAAAATACCCTGCACATGCAACAAATTATCTGAACAATAAATCTCCTGCAGTATAACAATAAATGAATGATCAAATGAATAAAATGAATGAGTGAATAAATGAGTGAAAACAGCTGTCCTTTTTTCACTCCATCAGACCTTTATTTTTTCAAGCCCATGACACAGCTCATACTTCACTCAGTTCTTTCTGAACTTACTAGTTTTAGAGTTTGCACAGTGAAGTTACAAAATGGGGTTTGTGACTTACACTTCAGATGTTCTCCTGCCCCTGCTAGCAGCTGATAGAAGATATGAAACGTTCTTTCATCTTTGGCTTGACGAACAGCACGAGATTTTTCCAACAAGTCTGATCATATGCAGTTAAGGAACTTGCACTTCGCACCTTTATATGACAGGTTCAAAAGCTGTGCCTCAAAATAAATGATGTAATTTAATAGCAACGGTAGTGTGTAGATGAAACAAGGGGCGTGTGTGCACAATACTTTAAAGTGGGCTAAATGCTTTTGCACTGCTTTAATGGTGTCTGTGTTTGCATGCCTCAGCAGTGTATTCCTCATTAAATTCCAGCCGCTGTAGAAAATTTGGTGGTGTAATGCACCTTAAATGACTTGGGGCGCAGCAAACAAACTCCTCCGAGGAATTTTAGTTTGCTACCCCTACAGCCGTGGAGCGAAGCACTGGGCTCTGTGCAGATCTGTGGCTCTGCAGGAAGCCCTGCAGGCAGCCTGGCAGCAATCTGGAAAGCAGACTCTGCCCAAGAAAAGCAGTGTGCCTGATTTCCCGGCCACCCCAGAGCCTGCCTGCCCAAGCTGTGCGGGGGCCCAGTGCTTCCCTCCGCAGCTGCGGTGCCCCCTGGGACCACCAGACCTGGATGCCCATGGGCGGGTGCCTGTGGGGGGGGCCCTGCTGCTGCTGCGGAGGGAAGCACTAGCCCCTCTACAGCCCAGGGACCACTCCGCCCACCAGCAGCTCGCTCTCCCCGCCCTGCCGCCCGAGAGGCAGGTAAGTCAGCAGGGTGTGTGCATGACACAGGGGGGTTAAAAAAAAAAAAGACCCTAAAATTGAAGCAGTGTTTTTAAAAACCCACTGCTTCAATGTAGGGCCCTTGTTTCGTCTACACATACCCAAAAGTGTTAGAGAGAGGTTTGTTTGGTGCTTGTCAACAAAAAGAAAGCTGTTATGCTTTATAGCAGAGATCCTCTTGCGAGGCCTATAACTGGTTTTTTAAGATGCCTATATAACTAACCCCACCTGCAACTCTAGTAGCAACTAGGGTCTGCAAGTGAATTATTGAATATACAATGAATACACAACTGCAAGACAGATCTGTTGTTTAAGGCAGTACCTTTTCATGAATTTACGTTTCAGAATAAGGAAATCATTTATATATGCTGCATCCTTAGAACAGTCAGAAAATCCAGTAGTTTTTAGTAAGTACCATACTTACTCAATTCTGAGACAAATTTAAATCAACTCACCAACAATTAGACTTTAGACATGGAAAATTCTAAAATTTAGTTTTCCTGGTCTAGAATCTAATTGTTGAGGGGGAAGGGGGGATCATCTTAAATTCAAAGTCATCTTAGAATCAATTAAATATGGTATTAATTGTGATGTTCTGAGTAGCACTTCTTGACAAAAAAGATAAGTTATTTTCCTATTTTCCAACAAAAATATATTATAGATCAATGGAAGCATTCACTCTGATGCCTTACATATTGTTGTGTTCGCTAAACGTTAATTTTTACAAATGAGTTAATTTTGCATTGCATCCAATTGGAGTCTGAGACACAAAGCCATAAATAAACACAGAAAAGGCTAAGTTGCTTCAAATTTTCACAGATGTCATACTGCTGAAGTAGGATACAAGTCTCGATGTTGGCCCCAACAATATAACCAGTAACATCAAAGTTAATTCTGATGAACTTGCCCTGCAAAGGAAACAGGTTGGTTTCCTGAAATTGCCATCATCTATATCAAAGCATATTCCTACTTAAAAATGCAATTTGTTACAATTCAGTCTTAAAATGATTAATATGCATTTGGTATAGATTACAAAGCAACAAGATACCACTTATGCACAGTTATATTCCTTTAAGAACATTAAACAGTTATAAAATCAGATGTACTGTAAAATAAAACAATATCTTTTTCTGGTAAAAAGTAATTCGAGGTTCATGTGGATTCCAATGTCATTTAAGTTTTCAGATAGATGAAAGGCACACAAGTGTTTTGAGACCAGCTGGAAATACACTTTTCTGAAGTAAATTCTTTGTCTACCTCCTTTCAGCTTCAACATTAAAACCATTAGGAAAGACTGGGGGTGGGGGGCAGAGAAGGGGAAAAGAAAAAACAAAAAGCAAGCAAGCAGCTTAAGCAAAATCCTAGCATACAGGTAGCAAGAGTTAACTTTCCCATGTGGCTGATAATGTCGCCTATAAATGCTGTGTACATGCGCACACCCAGGAGTGCAGACCGGCCGCTTGGAGAGCAGTGTCAGGCTGGTAAGTTGGGGGGGGCCGCAGATTGAGGCCCCCGCAGTGAGGAGGGAAGTAGGGCTGGGGCAGGGGTAGGCACTGCCCAGCCAGGGTGGGGTATGGGATGGAGCAGCAAGTGGCTTGTTTGGGGGTGTGGGCAGCTCCCAGCCGCTGTGCACACCCCCAGGGGAGACATGGGGAGCACATGCCCTCCAAATCTGTGTGTGGGGCGAGGGCGGGCTGCCTGCTTGGGGCCAGGGACAGTACCGGGCTCTTCCTGGTGGAGGAGGGGCTGGGCTGGGGCTTCACTCAGGGCAGGTAGAGGTGGCAGCAGCAGCCCTAAGAGAGGGGCTATGCAGGGGCAACAGCATGGCTCCCCTCCCAGCACTGACACTGCCTGCCCCAAGCACAGCCCTGGCCCAGCCACTGGGAAGAGCTTGGTGCTGCCCCTGGCTCCAAGCAGGCAGCCTGCCCTCGCCCCACACACAACCCCAGCCCCACTCCCTCCCTCACCACAGGGGCCTCGATTACTTTCCCAGTCCACACATCCTTCTGTCATCCTGAGAAGAGGAAGTCTCAAGCATACCACTATTCTTTTCTCTCTCACAAAGCAGCCAGTTGCAGCACTGTGCACACATGCATGCGGAGAGTGAAGAGCACTGCAGTTAGGGATGCCTAAAGAACCAGCAAGACCCATGTCTCAGAATACTTGGTGTCTGCACATAACTTTGAATCATTTAGAGTGACCCAATGTAAAAAACAAACCACTGTGCCCTTAGTTAAATCATTTAAATAGTACCCATTAGTCAGAAGCTAATAGGCACTATAAAAAATGTGAGTTTGGTCATTTTTAGCCTCAGTATTTAGAGCAATCATTGGTATTCAACTCTCATGTAGATATAAGCTTTATCATGTGAAAGTTTCACTGCCCAGTAATTCTACTTCAAGACTTTCATCAAAGCTATGTGACATGGATACTTGACTGTTTGGAGTGGTTTCGAGAATAATTACTACCAAACAGCTGTTACAGGACAGCAACTTCTGCTGTCGCTAAACTTCATTCATGTATCTGAAGTAAGAGGTTCTCTATTCCTACTATTACTTTGACAAAGACACTGGATAGCTCAAAGTGTCACATTTGGCATGCACTTACCAGGAGCCAATAGGCAGGGTTTGTCCCTTGGCACTGCTTGTGGGCTTACAAGAGAAACAGGGGTGACAAGCTCTTTCTGACCTGAGGGGTAAGTTGTTGAGTTTTCAGTTCTAAGGAAAAACTCTCTCTAGGAGGGTAAAGCACTGGAACAGGGTACCCAGAGAGGTTGTGGAAACTCCATCCTTAGAGGTTTTTAAGGCCTATCTAAACAAAGCCTTGGCTGGGATGATCTAGTTGGGGATGGTCCTGCTTTGAGCAGGGCTTTGGACTAGACATCCTGAGAGGATGCTCATGATTCAAAAAGTGCCAAGGACTCTATTGCCTTGTCTTTTTTCCCCCCGCTTTCCATTGGCACTTTTTGAATCACGAGCATCCTTGCCTTGCTTGTTCAATAAAAGCCATCTTAATCACAGAAAGTTAGCATTCAAAAGGGACCTTGGGAGGTCATCTAGTTGTAGCAAAATACAAATGTGGTGTCACCAGCAGAGTTTACAATGGAACACTTCTAATACCAGTGATCTCAGACATTAGAGGGTCTGACACCTCTAGAAATCTTCATCTGAAAGAGGGGGAAAAAACAACTAAGTTGCATGCTATATAACCTTGCACCTTTGAGACATTAGGCACACAACAGAAAACATGCCTGCAATGGGTTGTTCTTAAATTTCATACTTGCACATTACCTTTAGGAGAACATCATCATAGTTATAAAATGTTAAGATCATATAACCTACTCATAAAGTTTTCAAGCTTAGTCCTTTCATTCATTTAATGTCCTTCTACTCTGTAAATCACATTTTATAGTGATTTACAGTCCTGGTCATTTAGAATTTTGTATTTATCTCTGTTATGGTAGTTATGTTTCACACAGACTCAAAACCACTTTAATCTTCACCTGTTACCACAAAGAATTTTTTGTTTGTTTTCCCCTACTGAACTCCGTGGCAAACAAAGGGTACTTGTAAAGGAAACAATAATGAAAGTGGCTTAAAGACTTCACCTAAGAACACCTTTCTCCGAGGATAAGGAGAAGCGGTTACTAAAGTCTGAAAGTGTTTCAGTTGGTGCTATTTGTTTGATATGTATAACTCATTTCAATAAAAGCTGTTTAAACAACAAAGCTATACAGACAATATTAAAATAACCCTATTGGAGAAAAAAAGACAGACATCAACAGGATTAGAAGACATTAGTTAACAGAAGTAAATCTTAAATGTTTTGAAAGGAAGGCTGCAAGCCTAGCTCAGATTTCCTTAGTATACAGGTTTAACAACACATGTCTTTCTTAATAAAGTTCAAGTGAAGTTTATTGCTCTTACAGAATTAGCCATATATGAAGCGTCAAAACTTATTTGGTCAAGCTTCTCTGGCATTCATTTTTAGGTGTGTTAAGCTTCTACAGTTTTCACTGATGGAGCAGCAGTATGGTCTCCCAGTATACGGTGACCCCAGCCAGATGCCTATCCAGCCTTCTCTTAAAGACCCCCAAGGTAAGGAAGAGTACCACCTCTCTTGGAAGCCCATTCCAAATTATGGCCACCCTTACCGTGAAGAAGTTTTTCCTGAAGTCTAGCCTAAATCTGCTTTCTGTCTGTTTGCAACCATTGTTCCTTGTTATCCCAAGGTGCACCCTGGTGAACAGAGCATCTCTGATGCCTTGCTGCGCCCCTCTAATGAATTTGTAGGCAGCCACAACATCACCTCTCAGCCTTCTCCTGCGGCGGCTGAAGAGGTCCAGGTCCCTCAGTCTCTCCTCAGGGCTTGGCCTGTAAACTCTTAACCATACAAGTGGCCCTTCTCTGGACCCTCTCGAGGTTATCCACATCCTTCTTAAAGTACGCCACCCAAAACTGGACACAGTACTCCAACTGCAGTCTGACCAATGCTGCATAGAAGGAAAGAACATCCTGCCCTCTCCCCCACCGGTTTGTCAGGCTGGGCAGAGCAGCTCTGTGGGCTGGATATGCTCTAGGGGCTGCACGTTTGACACCTTTTGCAGAGGCAATGAAAAGTTGTTTGAACTTAATTCTTACTTGATACAAAATTTCAATTGACTTCATAGGACACACGGATAGAAGAATCTTCTATGCACTCTGCAAAATGTTGTTTACCTTAGCAAAAATGCAGCTACTAAAAACTGCATCCAATACAGTTTGGGGTGGTAATATTAAAACTACAACATAGGTATCTTTAAATCTAGGCAATTGTAAGAAAAAATAATTCAAAGTAACCATCCATATCTTGAAATATCCCTACTTATTTTTTAAAAAAATATAGCAGTGGTATAGAAATATCTACATAAACAGGAAGCAGTGGTTGAGCATACACTGATTTAAAAATAAAAAATTCTCAGACTGCCAGAGTACTCCATGCATTTGGCAAAACAAGAAATCAGCTCTCCAAACTTTCAGGTCAAGTGACCTTAATTCAACCTAATAGTAAACACAACATTCAACAAATGTGTGCAATTTATTTTGATTGTGTCCCTTGAAGACCCTGGGACTCTAACCTTAGTTGTTACAAGAGTTAAGTTAATAAGAGTTCTCTCTCCTCTCCTCGCAACCTAAATTAGAAGGTCTGTGATGCATGGTGAAGGCGAGATGATCATTGGTTGTTACTCAATAGATCTGAACTCTGGTTTGTAACAAGAAAACCAAATTGTGAAAAAGGCTCTCAGGGGAAAGTTTAATATAAAATGGTTAGTGTTATGAGCACAACTGTCAGATTTTGTACTGATGAACATAGGGGTTGGCTATTTAAGCAACTGTTCACTTAACACCACACCAAGGGTAAGGACAAATGAATCATTTAACTGCTTGTAATTTACCCTATCTTTGACCCTGAATGAAGCAAAATTAAAGTTGCAGTGGTTTTGCAATATTTGAATGGTTGCATAGTGCTAGAGTAAGTTCCATTACAACTGCTTGTATCTGCATTTGCTCATACTGATACAACTGTTACATCTATCTATACTCCAAGACAGCATTTCCCAACCAGTGCCCCGTGGAAGTTTGGGCTGGAGCCACACTCCCTGCCTGCTGCAGACACACAGATGGAGGGGCATAGCTCCAGCCAGTGATTTGCATCCACGCGCTATGTTCAGCTGCAGCACTGCCCCCCCATGCCCAGCTGCTTGCCACCCCCTCACCCCGACTCCCGCTCTGCATTTGGCTGGTGTGCCGCGCGCGGGATGGGAGAGGCCCAGTAAGTGTGCTGCTGGAACCAAAAGGTTGGGAAATGCTGCCCCAAGATAGCTTTAAGTGCCCTGATATATCAATATTCTATACAGTCTAAAACTTGAAAGTTTTAATATGCCACTTTAAATTGAATCCAAGGAGGAACAGAATGAAGGAAAGTTTCTAATGCCAATAAGGTAAATGCTCCTTAATGAAAAAAGAAAATAAAGATGTATTGTCGTGAAACTGTGTTTAAAACATCAAAACTTACAAAACGGGAAGAGTTGTCATTTTTTACAGTCTTAGCATTCCCAAAGGATTCCAGGATAGGGTTTGCCTGCAGAAGCTGACGTTCCAGCTCCCCCTAAAAAGAACCACACAAAAAGAAAAGCAAACTGATATTAATACAATTTGTATATTAATGTTTTCCCAGATTCCACTTTCTTTCTGAACATTTCACCCCAGCAGTAACAATGACAAAAACTATAAAAGAAGTCTTGTTTCCCCCCCCATTCCTAAATCCATTGACACTTTTCACTGGATTGGTGAAGGCTATGTTTACTGCACGTAAGAGTGGTAGAAAATGAGTGGGCTAATATACTGATCATAGAAAGGTGAATTCTAGTTTAGGGCTAATGAAGTAGGCACAGAATCCAAAGTAAACACCATTCATTAGTTTTGCAGAAAACGTTGAAGTAATTAATTTCTGGATATCAGGGGAGGTTATCCAGTATGCTGAAACTTCAACAGTTTTTATCTACTATATCTAACCAGGTACCCACAGGACAACTATTTTACCATGTACTGTCCAGCAGCTGGGTATAGACAACACACTTGTAGTGTACCAAAACAGCAGAAGGGCAGTTGATTAATGCTGCATGGCAAAACTGTCTTCAGATTCCCAAAGCTGAATCAACATAATAAAGTGTGTTTGTTTATGACTTTTTAAAAAAAAGCTTCATTAAGCATAAGACTGGGTTCAAAAATCAACGTGAAGAATCATCTTAGTAGAACTGCAGAAGGACTTCTACAATGTCTGTGCATTCGAAGTTCTGGCCAGTATGCCAAGGTCTGTGCTGCATTCATGAGCCCATGTAGGTTGTAAGTATGTAGGAAAACGTGATACTGCTTCCTTGCCCTAAAAGATGACAAGGAAAGTTGAATTGTGTCTCTGGAATGTGACTACAAAAATTAAAAGTTTGGTGTTCCAAAGTCTGCTTTTTCCAATCATTATTTCTCAGTTACACCAAATGGACAAATAACTTCGACTGAACAGGTAACAAAAGGGAGGCCTGTCAACCTCTGCACACCATCAATGATTTACTATAGCTCACTGATTGGTGTTCAAGGTTAGATACTTTAAGTCACAATATAGTTTCAGGTTTGTTTAAAACCAACTCCAGCTCTCGTCCTGTGAACTGACCTCAATTAGTTTGCTCCAAATCTGATCCACTTCAAAATATATTTCCTATCAAAATATCCCTATTCTAAAACCAAAAAAGTAGTCTCATAACATCACTGAACTTTTACACAGGTCCTACACAGGACTGTTTAAACACGAATAGAGAGGGCTTTAAATAAACAAGTTTTAGGTCTGCACTAACATTATAGAATACCATTTTTATTTATTTATTTTACAGAGAAAGTTGGCAAAATTGTACAAAGTTAAATGCTTGTTCAGAATTTAGAATCTACACAAGGTAACAGACAACATCTTGCATCCTACATCTTGTCAGTCTTCATTAGGTGCTAACCAGAAAACAAAGGAATTCTGTTACAATTCTGTACTTATTTTACAATAGACTACATCACGTTCAACAAATAAAGTAAGCCAACACCTTCTGTAATAGGCTTCACAGAAGTTAATGCCTACTGAGGCTCAGTTATATTTCAAATTCTAGTTCTCAGACTAGAAAACAAGACAAAAGCATTGGCTAAATATTATTGTGTGGACACAGGAAAGACAGGTACCTAGACCCATACTATGGACAATTTAAAGCAATCATTCAATCTCATTAAACTCAAGATAACCCCTGGAAAATGCCAGCACTTGGCTTTCACTCATTTTATGAGTGCAGAAAAATCATAAAATCAATTCTTCTGTTGCAAAGAATTCAGAAAGACAACAACAGGTCAGAGAATTTTTGTTACTATGAATTCCTATTTGTAGTCTCTGGATTGAATCTTGCAAATCATGAGTAGGTGTTTGTATACCCAGTGATAATACTGTAGTTTAAGAACAAAATTAAAGTAATTTGTTGTCCCATAAAACTTGCAGTGGAAGTGAGGAGGGAGGACAACAAGAAAAAAAAAATCAGTCTAGCAATCTATTAAATAGTTGTGTGTACATTATTACATTAAAGAAAATGAAATGAGTCAGAAAACTCAGACTTCTACTCCAGTATTTTTAAATTATTTAAAAAAATACATATTTAGTAATTTTAGCCTGGAGACCAAGTTATCAAAACTACCAGATGGAAGTAATTATCCTATTCTGAAGCATTCAAAAGAGGTTTTAGTGTTAAAAAGGTAAGTTTGGCCTGGTTCCCCTACTTCTATAGTTAGATGGATCTTGGAAAAAGCAGCATAAACATATTGTGAAGTGAAGTCATGCAATAATTCATGCAGATCAATACAGCAATGTTAGAGCAATGACAAGAGATATTGTCTCTGTTCTAAGAAAACCAGCAACCCAGTGATTTGGTTCATTGTAAAATCCAGCTGAGAGACAGGGGAAACTATATGCTACTCACATACAACAGGGATCCACTCTGTAGTTCAAAATGACATTGAAACAAAATGTTAATGATTATGATTATGTAGTATCAACACGTCTGGATTAGGATGCAAGAGGTTTCTACTGATGCATTTACAATGTTAATACAATTTGGCAGTTTTTAAATCTTACATACACAGTAACCATGAATCAATTTTAGGTTTTGTAGCAGAGAAATACTTGGGTACAAGACATAAGCAATTCTTAAATTCTGAAAGGGGAAGTAAGGCACTTTTGAAAGCTTTATTCTGGTCACCAAAACAGAGATGAGATTTTCTTAATTAAAACAGAGATTGGAGTGTATATTTTGCAAAGCAAGCTGCAGCACTTACCTATGCCTTCTGCATAAAACTATCCTACTCATAACCTTCTATCCCCCAATAACATTTTATTTCTGTATCTCAAAATAATGGATCACAATCTACTAAAAGATAAGCCCACTGACAGCTCCATAGTGTACTACAATGTCCTTAGGAGAAAGGTAAGAACTGAGTATGTGTCTACCCCTCCCATCCTCCTTTCTAGAAAAGCAGAGAGCATAGTCTCCATAACTCCAGCCAGCCTGAGAAACTAGAGTTGTTTAAGCCTTCTGAGGATGTTTATCCAGGAGGCTGGACGGAACAGCCACTGGGATGCTAGTCCAGGCTACAAAGCAATTTTTTTTTTTTTTGCATTTTAGACAAAATGTTGATTCTCAACTCAGCATTGTGAAGAATGCTGTAGCAACGCACTACCTGAGAAGCCATAAAAGCTTTGGGTCTAGAAGGATCTTCATCATCAACTCAGGTAAAATTGTCATAAATTTAATTTGAATAATTTGTTCAGCACCTCACTTAATACTGACATGGCACTTTGCTTTAAAATCTGAGCAGTACATTCACCAAGTACACACACAAGCTGGTTATTTAAAGTTGGTGGTAAAGATGAAGTTTATGCTTCTGAAGAGAGATGCCAAGTTCTATTCTTGAGCATCACAATCACGCTTGATAACTTTTGTTTACCAGTTAGTAATTTTGTACAAACCACCAATACATTTCACTAATAGTACTTTTTAATACAAGTACTGTTATTACTAAATATCCATAGAATTTTATCATCAGTACATACTTTACAGACTACCACATTTTATACTGATTTTTAAACTGACAGTTGATCTAATCATTCAGTAGACAGAAAAAAACAAAACTTAAGCCATATAATCTTAGAAGCATAAAGAAAGAAAAACAACAACAACAACAACAACAACACTTGCCTGATGTTTCACGGGTTTAGGTGATTCTGGCTGTTCATTGCAAACAAACAAATGCATATATGTTAGCAAGCGTTTTCCAGCTGCAAGTTACACCTCATATATTGTTTAAATCAGCATGGTTTTTGTTCAGCCAAGCACACTGTTCATGGAAAAGGTTTCAATCAATTCCTGTAGCTAGAAAGAGCTGTTTTGCCTCATTTTATGTGAGAATTTATGATTTTTCAAATACTAGATGAATGCATCAATACTAGATCAGGATTGCATCACAGCTACTGTTTTTCTGTCGTACAATAGTGTAGCAGAGGCAAGCATTCAATTAGTTGATCTGCAAGTAACTTTTTTTTAGTAAAACCTTCCAAGCAACAGTAATTAGAAGTTGGACATGGCATTGTCTTATACAGCCAGTGGCCAAATGCCCCATGGCCTGCACCTGGGCAGTATTATGTTCTCTTCTCCTCTCAACTGCTGCACCAGAGCCCCTTCCCACCCTCCCACTGCCCACTATACCATGCAGCCCCCTCAGCTCCCCTGGCTATTCCAGGGTGGGGGAAGCCTAGAGATCCTGGCTGCTTGTTGCAGCTGGAGTGATTGGGGGGGGGGGGCTTGGGCTTGGTCACCAGAGGTGCTTCTGTACAGCTTACATGCCACTTGATTCTAAAAATGACTAACCTTGTCCTAAGAAATACTAAGGTTGTGGTGGTTTGAACACTTACATTTTGTATTAGGCATTGCAGCATACTCTGGTTCTCTTTTTATAAACTAAAAAGCAGGCCTTTCTAAACAATAATGCAATGACCCCAGGGGATGGGGCTGCATGCTGGCAGAAAGTGTCAGGCCAAACTGCTTCAGAGCTGGAAAATGTAAATCAGCTTTCCCCCCCACCGCAGCCTTGAAGTTTTTACAGGGAAAAATGAATCCCATTTTCCCAGCAAGTTCTAGTACTGTGCAAGGGCCTGTTCATAAAAGCCTTATTCATGACAACACAAGAGCCTGCAAGTTCAGACCCTAAAGACAGGAGATCCAAAGGGACCATTTTCATCTCATAAGACTGCCCTCTAGCACAACAGAACTTTTTACAAAGTTCAATCAGCAAAATGCATGCATAAGACTTTCAGCACTTCGGAAAAAATATTTCACAGAGAGAAAAACATATGGGTTTTTAGAGATGTTCTTAAATCAAGAGAGCAGACCATGTCTGCTGATTCAACTTGAGGTTCAGACTTAGTCATCAGAGAGTCCCACTAAAGTGCATCATGATGCAATAGCTGCAGCATGCTCTAGCCCAGTGGTGCTCAACTTTTCTTCGGGGGGGGGGG